TAAAGATTTTATTTTTTTCCTTTTTGTCCCCAAAGCCCCCCAGTACATAGTTCTATATTCTTCATTGTGGGTCCTTCTAGTTGTGGCATGTGGGATGCTGCCTCAGCGTGGTTTGATGAGCAGTGCCATGTCTGCGCCCAGGATTTGAACCAACGAAACACTGGCCGTCTGCAGTGGAGCACGGGAACTTAACCACTCGGCCACGGGGCCAGCCCCGATAATTGTCTGTTTTTTAATAGTCTTTTCAAAGAACTGATTTTTGGTTTTGTTGATCCTCTCCATTGTATGTTTGTTTTGAGTGTCATCTTTCTTTCCACTTCTTCTCGTATTTTATAATATCTTAAAAATTATGCTTAGGGGCCGGCCCCATGGCCAAGTGGTTAAGTTTGCGTGCTCTGCCTTCGGCAGCCCAGGGTTTCACAGGTTTGGATCCCGGGCATGGACATGGCATCGCTCATCAGGCCATGTTGAGGTGGTGTCCCACATGCCACAACTAGAAGGACCCACAACTAAAATATGCAGCTATGTCCTGGGGGGATTGGCAGAGAAGAAGCAGGGGAAAAAATTATGCTTAGTTTATTAATTTTCCATCTCTTTTCCTTTCTAATAAAGTCATTTAAAGCTAAAAAGGAACCCCTTATCATCATGTTAGCTGCATCCACACACTCTAATATATAGTCTTTCTTATCATCAATTCTCAATATTTCATAATTTTTATTACAATTTTTCTTTGACCTATGTGTTATTTAGAAGTGTATTTCTTAATTTCCATTCACATGGATTTCTTTCTTTCTCTCTCATTTTCTGTTGTTGCTTTTTTAAAATAATTTTTTAATTGGGGTCACCTTGGTTTATAACATTATATAAATTTCAGCTGTACGTGATTATATTTCAACTTCTGTATAGACTGCTGTTATTGCTTTTTAACTTAATCATATTGTGGTCTGAAAATGTGATCTTTATCTGAGTTTCTGATATGGTAACCACTAGCCACTTGTGTCTATTGAGCACTTGAAATTTGGCTAGTCCGATGGAGACGTACTATAAATATAAAATGCACGCTGGATTTCAATGACTTAGTACAGGGAAAAAGTTAAAATCTCATTAATAATTTTTTATATTGACTACATGTTGAAATAATATTTTGCATATGTTGCATTAAGTAAAATATTAATTTCACTTGTTTCTTTTTACCTTTTTTTAATGTTGCTACTAGAAAACTTTATGGCTCATGTTTATATTTCTATTGGGCAGTGCTGGTCTAAAAAATACTAATCTTTTGAAATTTGTTGAGATTTGCTTTATAGCCCAGGCTATTCTTAATTTTTATATATGTTCCATGTGTCATTGAAAAGAATATGCATTTTCTAGTTGTTAGAAACCGTGGTCTATATATGTACACAGATTAAGCTTAATTGTTTTCATTAAATCTTCTTTATCCTTACTGATTATTTTGTTAGCTTAGATTTATCAAATGTTAGAGAGACACATTAAAATTTCTTGCTATAATGGTAGATTTTGTCTTTTTTCTTGTAGCTTTGTCAATTCTGGCTTTATATTTTTTGAGATTATGTTATTAGATGCTTATAAATTTATAGAGTTTTTATAGCTTCCTGGTGAAACTGCTTATCATTATGTAGTGAGGTCTTTGCCTCTTAGTATTTTTTGCCTTAAAGTCTGTTTTATCTGATAGTAATGTAGCTACAAATCTTTATTTTGGTTAGTGTTTGCCCATTCACATATTACTCTATTTTTTTCTCTTAACCTCTTTGCATTGTATTTTATAAATAGGTCTTATAAATATCTTATAAATAATTGGATTTCCTTTTTTTAAAACTCTAATTTTTGTATTTATCTGAAATATTAGTCCATTTACATTTGTTGTAGTTACCTATTTATTTGAATCTATTCCTACTGTCTTATTTGGTGCTTTGCGTATTTCCTGCATTTTCTATACTTATTCTCCTTTTATTGCCTCCTTTCAGATTGATTATTTTTTCTTATTCCTTTTTATCCCTCTAGTAGTTGGGAAGTTTTCTGTGCCCTCTTTACATTCTTCTGGTGCTATTTTAGAAATTTTAACACAAATACCTGACTTATCAAACTATAAGGTAGTTACTACTGATACCGGACTGGGTGGAACCCTAGTCCCAAGTTAGACCCAGCCCCTGCTGCGGGTGCTTGACCTCGCGCAGGAAAGAATTCAAGAGCATGTCAGGAGAGTTCACAAAGATTTGCTGAGAAAGGAAGATCAGGCTGATCGGGTGAAATACCAATGGGTCGGTCGCTGGGAAAGCAAGCCAGGCTGATGTGGTGGAAACTAGCCGACCAGCCCCCTCAGGCGTTTGGGGTACTGCTGTATAGCTGCTGGGATGGGTTGCTTTATGGGCTTGGAGCTGGTTGATTGGCAGTTGGTATTTGCCTGAGCCTCCCTAGGCACTTGTCTGGTGTTCCCGGAAAAGAGGAAGTGGCTTCACTTGCTGTTGCCAGGGACCCTCTTGGAGGAACTGTTTACTGCATCCTGTCTCACTACCTGTATCTTCCTCTGAAATGATATGAGGAGCTTGGAATGCTTTAATTCCAGGCACGCCCTTCCTAATTTATGTGCTGCTGTTATCCAGGCAATTGATCCTATCTTATGTTTTAATCCTACAAATTACACACTGTTACTGTTTCCTATGATCAATGTTTGTTTAGATTTAACAACATATTTATCATTTTCTTTGCTCAGAATTCCTTTTTACATCTCAGCTTTTCTATCTGGCATCATTTTTCCTGCCTTCTGCCTCAGGTTCATCCTTGAATATTGTGTTTATTGAGAAAAATAAAATTATCAAGAAAAACAGTAACTCGGTTTTCTCTGTGATATCTTTATTTTATCCTCATTCTCAAAAAATATTTTGTCAGGGTCCGCATTTGATAGTTATTTTCTTTAAGCACATTGAAGATATTATTCTACTATGGTTTGCCTTCCGTTGCTACTGTTGAGATTAGCTGTTAGTCTAATTGCCATTCCTTTGTAGGTGTCTTGGTGAGAGGCATGATAGTGTGGTGGTTAAAGGTGTGGCCTCTGGAATCAGACTGCCTGGATTTAAGTCTCAGCTCTTTGGTTTACTAGCTGTGTGACACTGGCCAAGCTGACTAACTTCTCTGTGCCTCAGTTTCCTCTTCTGTAAAATGGAGGCACAAATAATGTCAGTACCTAGCTCACAGGGTTGTGGGAAGGATTCAGGGAACTAACATGGAAAGCATTCAGCACAGTGGTGGCACATTTTCAGTGCTATTAAAGCGTTAGCTGTTATTTTTTCTCTTGATGCTTTTAGGATCTCTGTATCATTGGTGTTGAGCCCTTTCACTGTGGTGTGTCTAGGTGTGGATGTACTTTTATTTATCCTGCTTGAAATTCACTGAGCTTTTTGAATCTGTGAATTGTTGCCTTTTATCAATTCTGGAAAATTCTTCGCCATATATCTTCAAATACTGCCTCTGCCCAATGCTCTCTCCTGTCTCCTTCTGGAACTTTAGTTAGATTAATTCGTCCCTTTCACTCTATCCTTTGTGTCTCATTGACTGTGTTTCACCGTCTCTGTGCTGTAAATATTCTGGATAATTTCTTTAAATCTATCTTCTAGTTCACTAACTTATTTCAGCTGTGTCTAATATACTGTTAAACCTGCACATTGTTTTTAATTATCATCATCATCGTCATCATATTTTTCCTTTCCAGAAATTGTGTTTGGTTCCCAACCAAATCTGCTTGGTCTCTTCTTATATTTTTTTGCCCTTCACTCATATGTTCGACTTCTCCTTTTATTTCTTTAAACATATTATACATACATATTTGTATTCTGGTCTTGTAAGTCCAGTACCTAAAGACTTTGCTGGTCTGATTCTGCTCGCCGTTGTTTTGAAGCCTCTTAATGATGGACGGACCCCTGAGACAGGGGCCAGCCAAAAAGTTTTAAACTGGACGGGCTGTTCTTAATCTCTTTCCTGCTTCTGTTCTAGATGTCCCCTGTTTTCTTTTGTCCTGCCTCTTTCTCTATCTACTTTTTTGAAAGGCTGATTCATAGTTAAAAAAAAAAAAGTGAAATCTCCTTCGCAGCTCCCCGTCCCTTTCCCACTGGGGGCCTCGATTATTAGGTTCTTGTGGATACTTCCAGAGATATTTTATGCAAATTCAAGCAAACACAAATTTAAAAATTCTTTCTTTCTCTTTTTACCACACATAGTAGCACGGTACACACATTGTTCTGAACTTGTTTTGTAATTTAAAAAATGTAATTCAAAAAATGCTCATTTTGAATAGCATAAATACCCAAGGTCTACAAGTAGAAAAGGAAAGTCCCCCTGGAATTTCATTTCCCAGAGACAACCTCTATTATGCGTCTATAAATATATATTTACATAAATGGGCTTATGCAACAGATGCTGTTCCATAACCTATTTTTTTCTTTTTTTTCCAAATAATATGCCTTGACATCTTTCCATGAATCTCTCCACATCTGTCCGTGCTCTCCACATAGCCCAGCAGTTAAGTGGCTGGGCTTTGGATTCAGACAGAACTAGGTTCTAATCCTAGCTCTGCCGCTGAGTAGCTATGGGACTTTTCAGATCCTCTCTGAGCCTCAGTTTCCTCATCTGTAAAATGGGGATAGAAATAGTGCATACCTCATGGTCGTGTTCTGAGACCTTAATAAGATCCCGGATGACGTGCTTCCTCCAGGGCCAGCTACTTGATAAGCCCCTGATTAATGGTAGTTTTGATTATGACTCACCCTTTGTGATGGCCGTTTAGAACCCATAGTGTGATGTGAGATTGTTTATTAATCATTCTCCCTTCCATGGGCATTGGATCGTACTAAAATTTAGTTGTAAATACCAACCCAGTGAACAGTGAACATGCGTCTTTCACCTTTGTGTGAGTATCCCGTGAATTCCCTGCAGTAGGGTCCCTGGGTCCTTTGAATTCTAATCTCTGCCTCCTCTATCTCTCCAAGGAGGAAACGAGCATGCCCCATGGGGTGAAGCATGTGTGTTACGTACGTTTTCACTTTTTATTCCTGCTCTTCTTGCTCCCTCTCCTCACGTCCAGGGGGGTGGCAGGGGTCTTCTACAGTAGAGACCACCCAAGGCCCCCTGGCCTGCGCTCCTCCAGAGCATCCTAGTGCTCCCCACTTCCTGTGATGCTAAATCTCAGACTTCTAGTTTCCCCCAAACCTTGGTACCTGGCCATTCATGATAATTCATTTAAGGATTAGTTTTCAGACCTATATGCTTTCAAAACAGTTCCCTGTGGTTTGCAATAAATGAGAAGGATCAAAACATACTTAAAATGGGATAAAAAGCTAAAGAAGCAAGAAAAGGGGGAAGAGAAGGGGAAATCTTGCTACAACAACCTCTCCCCCTCTACCAATCCTGGAAAGGCAGAATTGCTAGGTTCAAAGTTAACACTGAGCTTCCTGGTAGCCAAAGCAAAAAAGGGAGCAGGATAGATTCTATAGCTCATTAGGAGACCAAAAACCATTCTGCACCTTGAAATGGTCCTGAAGGGCTTTCTCTCAGGGGCAATAGAGGGGTGATTGATTGGCAGTCTTTCAGAGGAGATGATGGACCTGTTTGCCATGTGGCTTCTTCAGGGGAGGGGCAAAGAGCAAGTCAGTGACCCCTGAAAAGGGGAATGACAAGAGCTTTAAGGAGGTGAAGGTGCACTCAGAACAGGATCTGCCCACCCTGGTGAGATGCATCTCTAGTCAGGAGATTGAGAAGGGTGTCGGTACAGGGTCCAGTTACTCTGAACCTGGCTGGGAGTGAGAGGATGGGAACAAAGCCAGGCTCCTCTCCTGGGACCGAGGCCAGGCAGTCCACAGACATTTCTTGAACCCTACTTTGTGCCAGGCCTTTTCTAGGCATTGGGTATAGAGTGGGGCCCAAGACACATGTTCCCTGTCCGCATGGAGCTTACAGTCCAGCGGGAGAGAGTGACGTTCAACAATCCCAGGTGAGGGGAGCTCTCCGAAGGGCTGCGCCGCTGGGTTCTGAAGTGCTCTTCTCCCCCTGCAGCTTGGTTCCGGGGCTGTGATCCACCTCCTGGGGGCCATCAGCCGTGGCCAGGCAGGGGGGCCACAACCTCCGAAGCTGGAGGTTCTGGAGAACATGATGGAGGTCAGCTCAGCCTCACCCGCCCAGAGGCCCAGAAGGAAGGAACGGCCCATGGCCCGGGGGCCCACTGGGTGCCAGGTACAGAGCAGGGTCTTTACACAGGTGATGTTGCTTAATCCTACTGAGAGAGGCGCCTTCATAGTGACTCTCAGAGGTGTCACTGCAGCCTAGAAATTTGGTGTGACTTGCTCATGGTCAAGCAGAACATAATCGCCAGACACGGGTTACACCCTACCTGGCTGGTAGCCCGGGGATCTGCAAGCTCTGTCCCCTGCACTACTGAATTCAGGGGCTGGATGGCGGCAAGGGAGGGGCTGGGCCTCCAGCGCATTTGGAGAGGGAGCCCTCACTGACCTTTGTTCTGGGTGGACCAGCGTGTCTTGCCATCCCAAGGCCCTCTAGCGTCTTCCCTCAGGAGGGACAGCCTGGGGCTCGGTGGCCTCTCTGACCCCGTCCGCCATCTGGGAAGTCATTCTCTTCCCTTCAGGGGACCCCCCACCCCCTGCCCCTGCTTCTTCTCCACATCCTCTTCCTCTTGCAGGAGTGTGTTCCTGTTCAGGCCGGTGCTGTGCGTCCAGGGGTGAGTGCTTCTGCCCTGCCGAGTGGCCTCTCTCACTGAAGTACAAGTCAGGGAGAATGGTGGAGTGAGGAGGGGACTGGGGGAAGCAGTGTCCCCCTGGAGCCAGGAGGCTGTCCCAGAGACAGGGCCTCAGTCCTCACCCCTCCCCCACAGTGCGGCCCAGTGGAGGCTGAAGACAGGGAGCCTGGTGAACGAGATGGAGGAGAGGACCCAGGTGAGGGCCAGAGAGGGGGACCCCCAGCCGCCGACTGTCTTCCAGGGACTCCTGGGACTGGAGGGGCACATGCCCTGCTCCTGGCCCCAGCCCCTGCTGAGGACTCTTCTCTGCCCCGCAGTCAGTCTGAAGTCCTTCCACAAGGGGTGGGGGCTGCTGGCTGCCTGGGCTCAGCTCCCAGACAGATATCCCAGACATCCTAGGTCCCTGAGGGCGGTACCCCTCCCTCGTCTGCCAAAGCCCCTCAGCACTGAGTCACCCCTCCCCTTCCCCTGAGCCTCCCCTAGGAGCCTGTGATTCTCTTTCCCCACAGCTCAGCTTCAGCCCCAACAGGAGAAGAAACCCCTGGATATTGGGGTACGGGGCACTGTGGTTCGTGCCATGCAGGAGGTGCTGTGGAGTCGGTAAGGCTTGCTCCCTGCTTCCCTGACATCCAGGACATCCTGATGGGCTGCCCTCACATACCACCTCCTCCCAGGGCCCTGCCATGTTCTAAGGGCTTCTGTGTGTATGACTAACCCCATTTTGTAGCTGTGAGGTCACTCGCCCACATGGTGAGCCAGAGAAGAGCTGAAATTTGACCTGAGTCTCTCTGACGTCAAGGTCATGGTTTTCCCATTAAGCTGCTGCAGCCCTCAGCGTCTGCTCAGGTCCTTGTGGATGTCACCCGCAGCAAATGCTTTCGGACACAATGAGACTCTGTGCTGGGAGCATCTCAGAGATCTGAGCCCAGAGCTCTTGTTTACTAGGTCCAAAGAGGGCAGGACTTTACAAAGGCCACACAGCAAGTCAGTGGCAGATTCAGGGTTACATCCGGGGCCAGGACTCGTCCCCTGCTCTGACTGATGTCTTACCCTCCCCTCCACGCATTCCGCAGTTCCACTGGCCAGGGCTGGAGCATAGGGGAGCAGTCAGATCTTGCTTTGCCACTAATCGTGTGGCCTTGGGCAAGCCCCTTATCTATTCTCTGAGCCCGAGTCGCCCCGTCTGTAAATGGAGAATGATAGTTCTTGCTCACAGAGTTGGGGTGAGAATAAATGGATTCATGTGGGAAAATGCTCAGAATAGAAACCGGAGTTGGCCTAGACCGTGCTGCCCACCTGTATCTCCCTCTCGGGCTCAGTGCCTGGGTGACCCCACGGGCTCAGTGCCATGGCCCTGCCCTTGACCCCACAGCCTTCAGGAGCTCCCAGACCTGGTGCTGAGTGAGGAGGCGGTGGAGGGCATCGCTGCTGGCATCGAGGCAGCCCTCTTTGACCTGACACAAGCCACCAACTGCCGCTACAAGACCAAGTACCGCAGCCTGCTGTTCAACCTGCGTGACCCCAGGAACCCTGTGAGCCGGGCTTTGGGCTTGGCCACGCCCCTCCTCAGCGGTCCTGGCAGGATGTTGGGGTGGGGGCTCTCGGAGCTGTGTGGTGCAGCCCCTGCCCTTGCCCCTGCAGGACCTGTTTCTCAAAGTGGTCCATGGAGACGTCACCCCCCAGGGCCTGGTGCAAATGAGCTCGATCCAGCTGGCCCCCCAGAGGCTGGCCCACTGGCGGGACCAGGAGGAGAAAAGGGTGAGCTGTTGGATCAACTCGGGATAGGCGACGGGACATGGGAGGGAGGCAGCTGGCCTGAGGATGGAGCAGGGAGAGACAGAGACAGAGCAGAGTGAGGAGGAAGGCGGTAAGACAGGGGAGAATAGACAGACAGAAACATAGAAGCAAGGGAATAGAAGGAAGGAGCAGGCAGACAGGGAGAGAGAGTAAGAGAGACTCTCCCCATAAAAAAAAAAAAAAAAAAAAAAGAAGGAAAAGAGGCTGAGATGAAAGGGATTGGAGATGGAGAACTCGGTAGAGAGGTGACACCCTGAGAGGGGTTGTCTTGCACTTGCTTTTCTATGGAGCTGGGCTGGAGGGGGTGGGCTGGGATGATGGTCTGGAGTCTGGAGTCCAGGATTGTCATCCACCATTGAGGGGGTAGACCCTGTGGGGTGGCCCTGTCCCCATCCCAGCCTCAGAAGCCCCAGAAAAGGCTAGAAGTCTTCCTGATCCCCCAGGCTGGGTGAGGGACCCCACGGCCCCTGGACTTCACAGTTACACCCCCATATACCCCATGGGTCTCTCTCTGCCTGGGAATTGCTCAGGGGCAGGGAAGGTGGGCACTGAGCGAGCTTTGGGGATGCTTGTTTAATGGTTGTTGGTGGCCCAGTGAGAAACCAGTGACCTAGGGAGTAGGCCATGGGATGGGTGGGGTGCTAAGGCCCCTGTTCTGGGAGACACTGGGCTGATTGGAATAAATAACTAGAACCCATTAGGTGAAGCCGTCCACTGTAGGCTGAGCTTCTGTCCAGACATTGGACCAGGGAGCAGGACCAGCTACATAATTTGTGGGGCCAGTGCAGAATGAAAATGTGGGGCCCTTTGTTCAACAACCATTAAGAATTTCAAGGAGCCGGCTCCATGGCTGAGTGGTTAAGTTCGTGTGCTCCACTTCGGTGAGGGCTTTGCTGGGTGCGGATCCCGGGTGGAGACGTGGCCCCATTCATGAGGCCACGCTGCGGCGGCGTCCCACACAGCACAACCAGAGGCCCTCACAACTAGAATCTACGACTATGTGCTGGGGGGCTTTAGGGAGAAGAAGAAAAAAACACCAAAAGATTGGCAACAGATGTTAACTCAGGTGCCAATCTTAAAAAGAAAAAAGAATTTCAGGGTGATGACGGCATTAAGCACCGGGCCCCCGTCCATGAAGCCAGCTGTGCTGGGAGGAGAGGACCTCTGTCCTCCCGGGTTGTTAGAAAGGGAGAGACAGGCTTTCAGGAAACATTTCAGATGGGATGACATTGACTAATGGTAAGAATCACAAGTAGCATTTATTATGAGCCAGGCTCCGGGCGAAGCACTCTACATACACTGTTTAATATCAGGCTCTTAATTGAATTCCTAGAGAACAGATAAACTGAGGCTTAGAGCAGTGAAGTCCTTGCCCAAGCCCACACTACTTTGTGGGTCTTTATTAATGGCCCAGGTGGCGCTCCGGGGCCTGTACTCTGTCGACTGCACCATGCTCTTCCCAGGATAGAAGGTGAAGGGCAGGCGGAAGCAGAATTGACTTGCTGGTGAAGGCGAAGTTCAAGAAGGCTTCCTGGAGGAGGCAGGGCTTGAGGTGGAGGGTGAAGGAGTAGAATATGGAGAGGTAGGTCTGAGGGTGGAGGTGAGAATGAGCGAAGCTAAAGTGTGGAGGAGAGGAAGGCCTCATGGAAGGGGAACCAAAGGAGGGGACTTGTGGGAGGAAAGTGAGCACTTGGGCTCTTGGTGGCCAGAGACCCCCAAACCCCAGCTGAATTTGGGCTGCTCCGCCCCCTCAGGGCCTGGAGATCATTGAGCAGCAACAGAAGGAGCCGTGCCAGCTCCCGGCCTCCAAACTGACCCACAAGGGTGAAGTTGAGATCCTGCGGGACACGGACCAGATGTTGACCCTGGAGGACCTGGTGGTAAGTGGGAGCCTGACCTGGTGCAGGGCAGAGCCAGCGCCCAGAGATCCCACTCCTCACCTCACCAGCTCTGTGGCCCTGGGCAAGTCACCTGCCTACTCTGAGGTCCACCGTCTTCATTGTAAAGCAGGGTAATGACCAGGTGAGCATGGTGCAAGCCAGCTTCCAGCACAGGGCCTGTCACTGCCTCTCAGTGCTGGGCCCCCCCTTTTGGCCTAACCCCAAGGCACCCTGTGTGAGTGGTAGTAAATGCCATCACTGCTGTTTCCCCCAACCTCAGACATGGCGACTGGATCTCTGTTGGAAAGTGGGAGGGCCACACTGTTTGAGGCAGTGACTTTTCTGGATGTAAAGAAGACAGACCTGCCCTATTCGGTGGAAGGTGGGAGGACTTAGGGGTGCTGCGGGTGGAGAGCCACCAGAGCCCAGGGCAGATGGTCCAGTCTTCTCTTGTCGCTGGGCATCTGCTCCATCCTCATGTCCATCTTTTTTTTTTTTATCTTCCCAAAGCCCCAGTACATAGTTGTACATCCTAGTTGTAGGTTCTTCTAGTTTTTCTATCAGGGACACCTGCCACAGCATGGCTTGATGGGCAGTGTGTAGGTCCACACCCAGGATCCAAACCGGCAAACCCCGGGCCACCGAAGCAGAGCGTGCGAACTTAACCACTTGGCCACGAGGCCGGCCCCCTCATGTCCATCTTGCACATGGCCTGGCATGGGGGCTCGGCGGCCCTCGTGCCAGTGAACCCATCAGCTCAACCTCCTGCAGCCAATGAGAACTCCCTCTCGGCTCACTTCAGTCACACTCGGAGGAAGGCCGCTCTGGTTTTGGTTGGGTGTTCCGCAGGTCACACGTTCACCCCAGTCTAACCAGTGGTGCGTCGAGGATCGGGGAGTGTGGGGCTGGCCCCCTGAGCCATGCTCACTGGGAAAATGGCAGTGAACGTGACACAAAAATCCCTGCTCCCCCCACCCAACATCCAAGCCAGGAGAACCACTGCCTGTGCAGAGAGGAGCCCTAAGGCGGGGTGGCTGCTCCCCACCCCAAACCAGGCTGTATTCCCTGAGGAAATTGAATGTAAATGTAACGGGAGGAGCTAAGAAGATGGGGAGAGAAGCCCCTGCCCAAGAGAGAAAGAGAGAGTGTGGCAGAGTTGGAGAGGGGAATGTCGCACACAGGAGTAATCTTTATTTCTTATTGAACACCTACCGTGTGCCCCTTTTACAAACAGTGCCCCTTCCACCCTCACGATGACCTATGAGGCAGGTGATGCCCATTTCCTAGGTGAGGAACCTGAAGCCATTCACCCAAGGTCACTTGGTTGGCAGTGGTGGATTTGAACCCAGGCTGTCTGACCTCAAAGCCAGGGCCTTGGCACTGCTCTGCAGGTGGTTTATCAGACCAGAGTAGAGTTTCAGCATCTTCTTAAATCTTCCTAAAGCAATGTTTGTTTTGGGTTTAAAGCTGTTTGTATTATGAAGAAAAAAGCTGATTTGGCAATGGGCATGAGTCTTAAAAATATTCTTTCTTTTTGATTTGGTCATCTGCTTCTAGAACTTGTCCTAAGGTGATAATTGGAAGTTTAGGAAAATGCTTTCTGTGCAAGGATGGCATCAGTACTGTCAGTAATAGTGAGAGCTCGGGAACAACCCAGTTGTCTAGCCGCAGAGGTGCCGCGTACGCCACAGTCCACCCCATCGGTGTGTGTCTACAGGGACTATATACCATGGCAAATGTCTCTGCTGTAACTCATGGACAGAATGAGAATACGAGGTTGAATATTTAATCCCAGTGATTTTAGTCAAAGGAGCCCCAAAACTCTGTGTATAGAAAAAATATTACAAAGGAATACCAGAATATCGACAGTTGTCTCTGAGTGGTCAGACAAGGGGGGATTTTTTTTTTTTAATTTTCAAATTTTTGGTACTTTCCAAATTTTTTTAACAAGTTCGTAGTACTTTTGTAAGAAAAGAATAAATTATTTGGAAAAATAAAAACACATCCCTGAGGCTGCCTACTCATAGAGGGCTGCTGACTTCCCCACTCGCCTTCCCCATCCACCCCTCTCTCCTCCTGCGCCTCCCAGGAACCCGTGGTGTCCAAAGATTGCAGCCCACTGGCCCTGTCTGCCACGTCAAAGGACAACACGGAGCAGCATGAGGACCCCACGGAGCAGCATCCGGACACCACGGAGCAGCATGAGCACCACTTCCTAGACCCCAGCTGCTGCATCTGCATGGGTTGGGGGAGACACAAGAGTGGAGCAGGGTGGTGGGCAGGCCGGACCGTGGGGTTCAGCAGCAACAGGGATTTGTGGCCTGGGGAGAAGGTGGCAGGGTGGGGATGCCTGTGCCCCAGGTCCCCTCAAAAAGACCCTGGTCCAAACCCTGGTTCTGAAGCCCTGGGCTGGCTTCAGCCAAGCTGCCTCCCCCTGTTCAGCTCCTGTCGCTGCTGTTTGCAGACTGGGAGCCCTCGTGTGAGCTGCCAGGCTCCTTCAAAGCCACCAGCAGGTTGGGGGACAGTGTCTTCCAGAGAGCCCCAAGCCCAGCCCCTGTGTCCTCTCCAGAGGTGCCCCAAATTGAGGAGAAGCCTCCCACGGAGTCCCAGGACAGGTGGGCTGGAGGCAAGGAGGGGGTCAACCTGGCATGGTCAGTGGGGGAGGCCACCTGCTCGGGCAGCAGACAAAGCTCCAGCTTTTCTTTCCATATGCTGGGGCAAATCCTCCCTCTTTTGTGAGTCTCAGTTTCCCCATCTGTGCAATGGAACTAACCATCCCAGCCTAGTGGTTCCTCCCACTGCATGAGGCTATCCTTGGACCAGTGTTCCAGCACCCACCAAGGGGACACAGGACCTGCTCTGAAACGTAAGGAGGTGCCGGGAGAAGTGCTGATGACCTGCTCTGCCTGGCCCTGTCCCTCTGTCACTCCCTCTAGGCTCCAGGTGTCTACTGGTCCCACAAAGGCCCTGCCCAGCCAGCTGCCTTGGGAAGGGACTCTGGACATGTTCTCCATCAAGCGGTTCAGGGCCAAGGCCCAGCTGGTCTCAGGACACAGCTGTCAGCTCATCATGGTACTCCTGCCTTGCTCACCAGGGACTCCCTCACACACTGATCAGCCCAGTCAGCTACTTATACCCCTATTCACTCATTCATTCATTCATTCTTTTACTCGGTCATTCTAAAACAAGTCATTGGTCCCCTCTTCATGCCTGGCTCTGTGCTAGGCATGGGGCGAATGAGATGCCAGCCCCACTCCTGCAGAGACACACGTGGGTAAAGGACTCCCTGTAACCCAAGGCACAAAGCAAGAAGGGGCCAGGAGAGGAGTCTGGTACCTCCCTGGCCCAGAGGAGGGTTTTAGGAGTGATTGTTGAATGACTGAATGATCAGCTAAAGTGTTGGATGAGGGTGGGAGGTTAGAGGAGGGAGTCACGGGCTTCTGAGAAGTTGTAGATTGGTCAGGACAGGCTGTAGGCTTCCAGGGGCAAGGGCTTCCTGGGCAACCACTGGGGTCCTGATATAGTGCCTGCCCATCCTCTTTGCCACAGTCTGTGGCTTCTGGGTGGCTGGTATTGAGTCTGCCCTAAGTGGGTGGGAAGCAGGGAGGCTGACTGGCCATCCTACCTGCCCCCAGGCCCTGCCCGAGGTGATCCGCTCAGCAGGCTGCATCCCCCCCAACACTGTCTGGGACCTTCTGGCCAGCATCTGCCCAGCCAAGGCCAAGGTAACCGCCCACCCCTGGGCACCACCTCCTCTCCTAGTGCCATATCCCCAGCCCTGTGCCCCCTCTCTACCTCTGGAGCAGAGGCCTGGGGTAGGATATCCAAGGCTAGTTCCCATTGTGACTGCAGACTCACTGTGCGACCCTGGGCAAGTCCCTCTGGAAAGTGGGGACACACTTCCTCACAGGGTTCTCAGAGGTTTAGACGAGACCAGGGGTGTTCACAGGAGCAAAGGGTGACCACTCCTAAAGGTGCTCTCTTCCTGCAACCGCAGGACGTCTGTGTGGTCAGACTGTGCCCACACGGAGCTCGGGACACCCAGAATTGCCGCCTGCTCTACTCCTACCTCAACAATAAGCAAAGCCACGGGCTGGCTGCTGTGGAACACGTCGGGGTGGTCCTGCTGCCCCTGCCTGCCTTCCAGCCCTTGCCCACCAGACTTCGCCGTCTGGGAGGCCCAGGTGAGTGCCCTGATGCCCATACATGTCCCTCACTTGACAGGGTATGGTTGACACCGTTTCCGTGTCTCCATGGAGGCAGGCAGGCCTCAGAAGGGACTCCTGACACAGGTTAATGTGATAATAACGAGAACAGCTCATACTTGTATATGGCTTACTACCTACTAGACAGTGTTCTGAAAGCTGTACTTCTGTTAATTCATTTAGTCCTCAAAATAACCGCTCAGAATGGTACTATAAGTTTCTTCATTTCACCGATGAGGAACCTGAGGTGGGCAGAAAGCATGAGCCCAGAGTCACACAGCCAGTCCGTAGCAGAGCCGGGCTTCCCAGCCAGGCAGCATGGCTGTGGCAACTGGGCGCCCAGCCACACACTGTACTGCCTCTCCAGTTAGGCACCCTGAATAGAAATGCATGGGACGGCCGCATTTGACCCGGACACAGCAGCACAGAGGCAGGCCCCACAAACAGTTAACTGAAAGCCTCCCCTAAGACAGGAAGGAGGGATGTTTTCACCGCAGCTGTCCTGGGCCAAGCTTGGCCTTTGTGTGTGGGTGCCCTCCAGGGTGTGGCTCTGGGAAAATGCCTGGTGGGGGTGGCCATCCAGGGATGGCCTGTACCCATTCCTGAGCAGAGTGCTTGGCCTTTCTGGGCTGCCTCTCCTGGGGACAATGTGGTAGACTCTGAATCCATATAGTCTTGAGATCCAACTATCCATGCCCCACCCTCAGCCTTTCCTATGCTGAGAGCAAAATCTTCCGAGACAGGCTCCCCCTCCCACTTACTTGTCCCAGCATCTCAGGGGCCCCATCTCACTGCTGGAAAGCCCTTCTTGGGGTTTGACCTCCAGACCTCCGGCCGCAGCCAGAATGCAGCTTCTGGGGACTATGCGTTCTCTCCTGCCAGGCCTCTGGTCTCTCCCCTCCTCTTTCCCCAGGCCTGGAAGTCACTCACTCAAGCCTGTTGCTGGTTGTGCTGCTTCCCAAGGCAGGGCTTCCAGACACGGCAGAGTCCAGCCTCTTGTGGGGGAAGGTTCGCAAGGTGGTCTCCTTCAACAGAAAAGTGGAGACGAGATACTACCAGCCGGAGGATAGGAGGCCGCATGTGGCCCAGAAGCGCTCCCGTCCCCATGGGGGTGTCCTGCGCCAGAGCCAGGGCAAAGGCAGCCTGGCACCAAAGGGAATTTGTGCTTGGGAGAGGCCCCCCAGAGGCAGGGGGAGACTGTGGGGAGAGCCTGAGACCTGGGAGGGTCGTGGGCAAGGGCAGTGGCCCCCAAAACCAGGCTGGTGCCACTCTGGGCATCCCTATTCAACAGCACCAGCTGGCCATGGCCAGCATCTCCACAGGGCCTCTTGTCCCCACCAAGCCCTGCTTCAGCATCTCGAATCCTTGGTGACCATAAGCCACCAGCTCCAAGCCTCACTGAGGTCTTCAGGCCAGGAACTCCTTCTCCCACCCCCTGCCCAGCCTCCTGCAGCCCCTGGAATTCTTGGCCTCCTCTGCCAGCCCCCTGCAGCTCCAGAGCCCCCTGGCCCAGCTCCTGATTCCTCTTTGGACCCTACAGAAGGAGCTGGCTCTGTGTGTCTCCTCCCTGGAGAGGCCTGAGCCCCATTACCCACCAGGAGAGGGGCTCTGATTCCCTCACCAGTGCTGAACCCTGAGCTGTTCCAGGGAGAGAGACAGGGGCCAAGGAAGGGGAGGGTCAGCTGTGTGAGTTTCCTGTTCTGCAGTCTGCTTGGTGTTGATTTTTGGTTCAATAAAGAATTTGGCAAAGTTGAGACTGCATCTGCTGACTGGTCAGGAGAGACACTGGGCCGGCTAGGTGTGGGTTAGGATGGGTGTGTTTGTGAGTTTGTGTGCACAGATGTAGCAGAGCTAAAGTGCTGGGAATGGAGCAGGCAGCCTTTTACAATTGCTGGTCTGAGGTCCCGAACCATCACTGTGTCCTGCTGTGCCCCAGGGCACAGTGGTTGCGTTGGTGGGTTCTGGAAACATTTTGCAAGTATTCTGAACTAAAAGGAAGAAGAGGTAACGGGAGATAGGGCAGGACTAGGGTGGGGGAGAGAGAGAAATGAGGCTTTTGAAGGGGCATGGACACCTAGAGATTTTTAGGGAGAAAAAAGTGAGCAAGTTGCAATGGTTTTAAAATTTTTCGGTTACCAAGATTTTTGCCTTTGGATAGTTCGGGGGGCACCACCGTATTCCCTATGTGTCTCTGTGTCTGTGCATCTGTGAGGGTCTCTGTGTGTGCATGTGCCTGTGAGCATGTGTGTGTGTACATGTGTGTGTGTCTGATTGCATGTCCGTGTGTTGGGTCTCAGGAAATTGGGAGATCCATATAGTATGACTCCTCTCTACGCCTTGCCAACTGCCGGAGACTGATACTGGAGAAAGCCCAGGCTGTGGGCCTGGGGTGTGGACATTCAGGGTGGGAATGGAGGCTGGTGTTAGGGCTGACTGTGCTGCTCTGCCTGGGGCCTGGAATGAGCTCTTAACAGCAGCCACAATTGTAAAGCATCTCAGTGTGGGGTGTACCTTGGGAGAGTTGAGTCTGGGGAGTGACCCCGGGAACTAGCTGCCCGCTGGCTGCCTAACCCAGCACGGAGAAGCAGGGCCTGGCTTGGAGAAGAGAACTTTTGACAGGACCCCTCCCTTCACCCCTTCCTCTCCCCTCCCCGGGTCTGAAGGGATGTACCCCTGCCCACTCCTTCTCAAAGTCTGCCGGTGTCCTAGCCTCTCCTTGCGCCGTGCTGGACTGGGAAGGACGGGCCGTTGGTTTTCGGGGCCATCCCTCTTCTCTGCCCCTTGAGCTTTGCTGCTGCCCTACCCAAAGCCGACAGCAGAGGGGGCCCTCGGCCTTGGGATGGAGGTCGGGGCTGGCCCGACTGGAGGCCTAGCTGGGGGGCGCGGGGGGGTGTGGGATTTTAGCTGAAGCGATCAGAAGCGGGGGTGGGGGTGGGGTGCGGGGTGGGACAGGGAGAGGGGACTGGACAGGGAAGGGGGCGGAGCTCCTTCGGGAACTTTTCCTGCTCGGAAAGGGCTTGTGAGCGCCACAGCCTCGGTGCTATATGTAAATAATACAAATTACTGTGCAACCTACAGCTGGATTCTGAGTCGGGGACTTGGGTCATTTTCCTAGGGTAGTTGGGGCAGGTTGGGGGAGACAGCTGTGTACCCCCTCCCTCCAGGCCCAGGGCTTCCACCCAGGGAGACGGGAGAGGGTTTGCTGCCTCCCCGGGGCACTGAGGGAAGAACAAGCTCTGTACTCTGTGCTGGGACTTCCCTTCGGAGCTTCAGTTTTCCTGTCTGTAAATGGGGATCATAGTGGGGCCCTCGAGCACCTCGCCCCGAGGAGAGGGCTATAGGTGGACCCCGAAATCCTGCTGCTTGTTTCGAGGCTGAGCGCAGGACAACATGACCTCCACCCACCTTTTGGCGTTAGTCCACTAGCCCCCAACCTTTCTTTTGGCAGAGGAGGCTAGGAACGCGGATTAGGCGAACTGTTGCTAGGGGGCGTGGCCAGCGGTTGCTAGGTTCGAAGGGCGTTGCTAGGCAACGCTGGGCGGGGCTCACGTTGCTAGGCCTGAGTAGGAGTCTCCAGGGACCCGAAGGGCCACGTAGCTCGCCTCGGTTGTAGTAGAAGGCGCCCCACGACGCTGCTCTCCCTGCGGCTTTCTCCGGGCCTCAGCTTTCCCCGGGCTGGACACCGCCTCCGAGGGTCCTTCCGCTCCACACCCTCCGCGACTCCGTGATCCTCTGGGCTCGGAAGCGAGGAACCCTGGGTCTTTGTGCACGTGTCCATGCGCTTGCTTGTGCGGTGGGGGGAAGGAGAGGGTCGCTTTGGGGTTTCCATAGCAACCGCTCCTGTGTCACCCCTTTGCTCCCAAGGTTTGAGCCGATTCTTGTACAAATTTACATATATCTGCATGTCATTAACATAGAGGCGGGGCCGAACTTGTTTTGGCAAAGATCCCTGGACAGTTCCTTTTGCTTCTGTCTCATCCCGCCTGATGGGCACGTGGGCTGTGCATGCGTGAGCGTTTTGCTTATTAATATTCCCAGATTTGGGGTGGGTGGGTAAACTGTAATAGTGACCACGGGTTCCAGGCACCCCGATCACCTTATTGAACCATTGGCATGAATCTGTCCAGGTACCCCTGACCAAAGACACACAGCCTCCCCAGGCAATGACAGACCTGATTGGAATCCCAATTCTGTCCTTTCTCTTCTGTCTTGCCTTAGGCAAGTTTAGTTCCCCTCTCTATGGCTCAGTTTCTTTCTCTGTAAATGGGGATACTAATCTCTAACTCGTCAGATTATGTGAGGGTTCAATGAGATGCCACTTTTGCATACACTTATTGCTGTTTCTGGCACACAGTAGGCGCTCAGTGGTAGCTCCCTCCCTCCCTCCATGGAGACCAGCTCCTCTCAGGACCCAGCCAAAGCAGATCTGCTTCCTTATCAGCTCAAGACATGACAAGTAAAGACCGAGAAGATCTTCTAGATGTCAGGGCAGACTGGATTTGAGGCACAGGACGAGGACTATGGGTTTGCCTGTTTATCATTCCTGGAGGCCGGAGACCAGGTTGGTGAAGCATGGCCACCCCGCCCCCCACTGCACCCCATCACCACCACCACACACATGTTCACACCCTTACACTCTTGTCTCTTTCAGGGGCCAACTGTGTCCAGAAACCTTGTTTTCTTGTCTCAGAGGCACTGGAGCCTGAGGTGGCTGCAGCAGTGGCAGCTGAGGTTGGGAAGTTTAAAGACCAGAGCTAAGAAGGTAGTGACCAAGAAAGTCCCCTCCAGGACTGAGATGTCTGGGGTGGAGCAGAGTCCAGTGGGAGTCTGAAGGCACAGACTGTGCTTGGAGAGCCACATATCTGAGCCTTTGCCAGAGAGGACTGGGGGACCCCAGGGCCACTCCATTGCCCTTTCTGGGCCTCAGTGTCCTCACTGTGGACAATTGGGACTCCTATGCTGTGACTTGGGGTAGGGGGAGGCAGAGGTCAGCTCAGCAGAGAGAACCCCATCACTGCTGCAGCTGTGTAGCAGTGCCTTGCAGGTGGTGAGTTCCCTGTCATTGGGGCTATGAAAGCAGAGGCTGAGGAGGACTCCTCGAGCATGGCTGGGATGGAGCAGCAGACCTCCTCCTGGAAGTTCTTGTTCTTATTTGAACTCTAATTGTTCCAGACAGCCTCTTCAAAAGCTGGGCAGTCCTTCCTGGGTCTAACTTCACCTTCCTGCTCTGGGAGAAGCTCCTTCTCCTTGCTCTTCTTTCTCCCAGTGCCTCTATAACCTTAACAGCCTTGGCTGCTAGGCACAGAGGAGAGGCAGAGGAGGCGTTAAAGGAGGACCAGTTCCACTCTGTGTTGGTCCTGTAGTCCTCAATTAGGTTCCGATAATGAAAATAAATGAGGTTGGCTCCTATCCTGGGTAGACAAAAGTTGTTGGTGATGGAGAGGGAGTGTAGGAGCTGGATTTTGATTGCTTGATTGGCTTCCTGGAGGAGGTAGGATTCCGTGGGGGCAGTACCCTGCAGTTGTCACTCTGACCGCTGCATGCAGGAATGCTGTCTGCTGGCGGATGGCCATGGGCCAACTCCTTTCCCGGTAGCCACCTGTGCTCCACAGGTAAGGCTTCCAGGGACCGGCTGAGAGCCTGGCAGCGCTGGGCTGGCTCACTTGTGTCCCACTCTGGGGGCCAATTAAGTCTCCATCCCTAGCCGCGCCGATTAACAGTTAATAAGGCAGCAAACACCTGCAGCTATGGAGGCGAATTAAGAGCAACAGTCGGCGTAATACACAACCTGATAAGTGAGCAATTAACAACCGGAGAAAGATTAATAGAAGCAATTACGTCCTACTCGGAGCTCTGTAAATATGACTGTCAATGGCTGGAGGATTCAGTCCAGTCTCGCCCAGCCCCACCCCAGGCCATAGCCTTTGCCGGGAGGGGAGCCAGCCTAGCCAGTCTGTGGATTCCAGACCACAGAGCCAAAGACACATGAGAAATGCATGCAGATGCCAAAGTGCACTAGACGTACATATACAGACATGTTAAGAGAGTCCACAAAATACAGTCACGCAAATACACAAATCCCCCACTGTCACCCACACTCACATTCACACAAATGGGTACACACAGCAACACATAGGTCCTGCCAGAAATACACACAGACATACATGGAAAAATACCGAGCATCACAGAGACATTTCCCTGCTTTACACAGAGCCAGAGCCACACGGACTGCCAGACACACAGTGACACTCACGTACACAAATTTGGACATGTAGACACACACAGCTACCTACTCCTAGCTCCCCATATGCATATGGCACCTGCTCTCCTTTGATGCCCGGCTTGCAAAGGGTCATCCATAGCAGGTAGGAGCTGCGGCAGGGCATTGGACTGAGGGAAACGGAGTGAGGGTGGGAAGGGACAGAATGTGTGTGAGCGCATATGCAAGTCTGTCTGCGTGCATGGAACTCTAAACATGTGTGTCCTTGCAAGAGTGTGTTTTACCAAAGAATGGATGTGTTCCTGAGTGTACACATGCATGTGCCTGTACATCTGTATGCCTACGTGTGTGAGGGTTTGTATGTCCTGCTGTATGCACGAGTATATGTACATAGGCATGAGTCCAGCAGATCTCTGACTACACATGCGGGTTTCTGGTTCATGTGTGATGCTGGGCCAGTGCCCGCATCTGGGTAATTGTGTGACTGTACTTCATAGTGGCTTTATGTTGTCCTGTCTCAGTGCTGGGGCAGGTTAGGGGAGTCTCTATGGGATGCTTCCCGGGGGAAGCTGGGAGTTCTGATCATGCCTGAAACCAGGGTCCACCTCCAGGGAACGGGGCTCAAGGAGTCAGGGAGCCTCTAGGACTCCTTGGGCTGACTGGGTCTCCCTCGCAGGGATTTCCAGCCCCTTGAGCGGGACTCAGCCCCATTGGGCCTCCCCCAGGTAGGAGGAGAGAAATGAGAACAGTTTCTAAAGAAATGGACCTGGAGGTTAATTTCTCCTGATTGAAAGCTGATCCAGGAATTCGCTGAGAATGGGCACCTTCCTCTGAAGGCCACAGCTCCCAGCCCCATTGGGCCTGAGCCCTCCTCACTCCTGCCTCCATCTTGGAGCTTCCCGTGGAAAACCCCCAGACCAAGA